TACAGAACTCTCTCACCCCCAACCAGGACCTCATCGGGGCTCTTTCGGGTTACGACAGTGACAATAGTTGTGTAGACTTGTATACTGATGAATCGAAGATGGGTAGCGGGAGCTCCTTCAGTATCGGGTGTGCGTTGTGGTCACTTGGCGACCAGTTTAATGAGGCAAGAGGCTTGCCCGGGCAGGCGTCGATCTTCTCGGCGGAGTGCAATGCTGTTATACTAGCCACTGGGCTGATTTTGGACTGCGTCGCAAAAGGCGTAATCGATAGTAAAACTAAATTCCGACTATTTACAGATTCATAGAGCATCCCAAGAGCTCTCCTCCACTGCAAAGGTCTCGCGGGAGAGTCGCCGTTAATAATTAAAATTAAGCATGACTTATAATTACTGAACGAATCGGGTATCTCTATAGAGATTTCCTGGATTCCTTCTCACGTCGGAATTAACGACAATGAAATGGCTGACAAATCTGCCAAAGAGGCTGCAAGCTTTCGATTCCAACTTGTCTATGAAGTCCCCTATACAGGCTTGATAGCTGAGACCAAAAGAACGTGCAAAAAATTAAACTTTAGCGAAATCAAAGAAATTTATGAGCAGACCAATAAGGGTGCCTTTTATTTCAAAAACTTTTATACGAATAATAACGATAAACTCTGGTCCCACAATTTTGAGCTACCTAGGAAGATTATTACCTGTTTAATCAGGCTCCGTTGTAATCACAACTCACTAAAGCAATCACTAGTCAAAATTAATGTTGAACATTCAGACCTATGTAAATGTGGTCAAGTTTGTGAAAGCGCCAACCATGTGTTTTTTGCGTGCTCTCTTTATGAAAAGCACAGAATCGAATTAATCGGTGAACTATATAGACTAAAATTATTTGGACCATATAATATATATAACTTAATCCAAGATAACAACTTGGCTGTGTGTTCAACATCAAATTAGTATTACAAACATTGACTATATAGAAATTATATATTCGCGCGCTAGCAATTAACTTTAGTATTTTGTAACCAATAGCGTGCGTACGATGGTCCTGCGTGACCACCAATCATAGTGCTCCACGTTTAAGTTACTTTGGCTGCTCACGACTGCTCGCCTGTGAGCATTTAGTCAGTCCGCACCAATCGCTCGTCCAGTGAACCACAGTGTGGTCACTGTGTACACTAACCAAGTAGACATTTTCTCGAGTAAATCATTTTAAATAGAAAGAGAAAATGTCTTGTGTAATTTACTCGCGTGACTCAAACAACATCATTTTCAGTTTAATTATATTAGTAAAATAACTGTTTTACAACTTCGTTGAATATCCTTAAACTAGCGCACATAAAACGTAATTTTGTTATTTACCACAGTTTTTCAATTTTTTCTCATCAAGTGTTGTAATTTCTGCTGTTAATATACTTTATTATTTTGTTATATATATGAGGTGTGATTGTTAATCTTTCAATAAACCCAAGCAATTGGCTCCCACTCTTTTCCCTCGCAACCGGTAAGTCAAACCATACAGTCCACAATCATTGGGTTTTTAATCCCAAACATTTGTCCTTCGAGCCGGATCAAAAGGGTGGTTGGAGAGCTTCGGCTTATTTTTAGCCACTTGCGAGTTACGAAGTCGGCCATCTTAACTAACTTCTTCTTCACGAGCGACGTGCGGACGCGTTCAGCGAGCCGGCGCGTTGGACGTATCTTTCTCCCTCTCACACACACTCGCATACAACAAAACTTGGTACCTATGGTAAGTTCAGTGCTTTTTTCTCATCGTACATGAACTCGAGTACATACTCGTTGGCTTCGTTGCATAGATTATTGCTACACTTTTCTCGTGCGATTTGTCACCATCTTTTTGTGCACAGGCCCTAGTACCTACTCGCTGGCCATCTTGTTTTTCTGCGTTGCGCAGACAGACTAATTTTTTTTTTATATATTATTACAATTATAATTAGGAATACAAATCATATAAATGCATAACTACATATTACAATATATTCTAAAACATTTATATAAATCTTTATTGAGAAACACTTCCATACAAATATTTGACTACCTACATTACTTCCTTCTTTAAGGCCACCCATGTTTCATCCTGAGACAACTCCAACCACCCTGTTGTACCAGTCTTCAAAATATCCATTCTCAAAGAATCCTCTTTGTAAGATGCCACTAGCTGAGTTAATGAAAAGGAGAGAGAACTTGGATTAGAGCTGTAATTAGTTACTATTTTTTCAGTCGTCAAGTAGTTCAAGAAGTTTTGTGTCAACATTCTCTTCCTATATGCAGAAAACGAAGGACGTCCTATTGACACAGGTTCAATATTGGAAGCGACTTTTGTAAGCATTGATTGGGCCATTTTGGAAATCATAGCTAGATAAATTGGCTTAAATTTAATTTGTGGAGCTTCTTCCCTTCCTCTGAATACTAAATTCATTTCTTTTCTCTGCCTCCATGAACTTTCGTTGCTAGTTATAGTGCTTAATGTTGTCAGCTCATCAAAATTGGTTCCAAACATCGCATGAAATATGGCTTCGGCTACAAGTTTTTCTTCGGCCCTAGATCTAATCTTAAACATAAACCCCAATCTACATTGTAAATTAAAGTCTTTCAATACGTTCAAACCGGAAAAGCTGAATAATTTCTGAAAATCTTCATTTTTTCTTTTACCCCACCAATATAACAGAGGAAAGAATATTTTGTTTATAGCCCTGGTTGTAATTAACTATAATACATCACCTAACGCTTTTAGGACACTTACAACTTCTCCAGGATTTGTTGCATTCCCTAAACAATTAATTACCTCATCTGCCGTAGGTAGCATTTGAAGAGTTTCTTTTAACGCGGCTTTTATTTTACTTTGGTACTGATCCTCCATTGTTAATACAAGGCACTGCGTCATAGGACCTAAACTTCTAAGAATACCAATCCTGTGTTCTGGTGGAATTGTTATGCCCTGAAGCAACGGAATATGCTGGTTAGTAAGACCGAATGTGTTAATATTCATCATGTTTCTTTTTTCTGTATCTTTATCATCATTTAGTCTAAGCGCCCCAGAAAACGTTGTTTTTACACCCCTCTTTTCTTTGTATTCTTTTCTTACTTTAAACAGCGTCACACCAGTCCTAACTTCATCAAACATCCCTTTGAATTCGGTAAGCAGTTCATAAATTGGAGTCGCTATTTTCAGATCAGGTTGATCCTCAGGTTTTATTAGGCTGATTATCTCTAAAACTTTAATATCGGAACCTTTAATATTAACTTGACAAGAAGAAAAATCAACTTTTGAGTCGTTTTTTGTTTCGTGCACTGGCTCGAGTACTATTACTCGTTTGCCACCTTTGGTAAATAGCTTTTAGCTTCATATAAAAGCTCAGCTTATTTTTAGCTGTACTAGCTCGAGTCCTATTACTCGTTTGCTACTTTGGTAAATAGCTTTTAGCTTCACATAAAAGCTCAGCTTATTTTTAGCTGTACTAGCTCGAGTACTATTACTCGTTTGCTACTTTGATAAATAGCTTTTAGCTACATAGAAAACAATTGGCTTATATTTAGCCTTGGCCTTCGTAGCCATATATACGTAGTGCTCTCTTGCACTCATGAGCACATGGCTCGCACATAGTCGGCCATTGGTGCCCTCGCTCTTTTAATTTCCTTTGTGTGCCATACTTATACACCTTCTTACTCCACAGAACAACAAGAGTTTTATCGGCAGCGGGCTAACACTTACGGTGTGCTCGCCTGTCACTGCAGGGCATCATAGCACTTGAAAGTGCTTCTCATCATAGCTGCAGGCCGCCATTGCCTGCCGGTTCAACGTAAACCGTCGTTGTTATTGAGCCACTTCAATGTCTGGATACCCATTGCGTAGGCCTGAATACCTGTGCACATAATCGTCGTCTTTAAGGTCCTGCATACATTCTTCGCACTCAATTAAGCAGGTAGCTGATCGCCTGCGTCGTCTACGGCTGCTCCTTCAACAGGTTTTAAATTGCGATTTCTAGTAAATTTAAATAACTATTAATTACACGATTCAATTTAGCGATAAAAATTAGAAAATTTCAGTTTATTTAAGCAATAGTGCAAGTATTGATTTGCGTTAATTACATAACTATTCAATTTAGAGATTTTCTACTATTTTATTATAATATTTGTTTAAACAATTTGTACTGTTAAGAGCTAGCTTGATTGTCACTGCCAGGTGTAGATAACGTTTGGTCACTATGGATGCATATTACTCAACGCAGCTTGGCCTTTATACCAAAATAAAGAATGCTTTCATTAATTTCAAAAAACTTGGCTCGGCCAAAATGACAAAGGGTCAAGCTGTGGCTCGACTACAACAAATTAAAGATGCGTTTGAACAGTTTAAAACGATTAATACTACTATTATGACTTTGGATCCTCTTGATAAACAACACGACTATTTTAAAACTGGCGTGTTTGAGGGTGGTGAAGACCTTTTTTATTCGGCCTTTGGGGACTTTGAGGACTACCTGTCCCGTTATCAACCGATAATCCAGCTCCTGTACCTCCCAACTTTGCCCTACCTCAAAATTCTGTGCAAAGTTATACCTCGTTACCTTCTATTGATTTACCAGTCTTCAATGGTAACCTTGATTGTTGGGAGAATTTTAGAGATGTGTATAGAGCTTTGGTACACAGGAAGCAGGATCTCCCAGGTATTATTAAGTACCAGCACCTACGTACTCATGTTACTGGTGATGCTTCAGATTTAATTAAAACAATTCCTCTTACTGAGGAAAACTACTCGCAGGCTTGGGAGACCCTGCTTGCCTTCTACGACAACCAGCGTCGATTAGTGTCCTTATATACCACGGCTGGAACTCTGTGCTGCTCAGCTGCTTGCTAGAATTGTCAGTCATTTTTTTTTTTTTTTTTTTTTCTAGTTAAATTAAACATTAATGATTCATTTACATTTACAACTTGGACCAATCAAAGATTGGCTTGTCAAAATTCATTGATTTCTAATCTTAGTCGAGCCTAAAACGAGGTTTTCACGTATTCGCTTATAGAACCTTCACGGACTTTTCCAATCTTAGCTTTTGCATCAGCCACAAATGCTCTCATCTGCGGAGTAAGTTCAAAGTCGTGCGCCCGAGCATAAGAAAACCAGGCCATCCCCTTGGGTTCCTTTGGTTCGTCATCCTCTGCGTCTGAGACTCATAGTATTCTGATTGTTTCGGTAGGTTTTCTGAAAGCTTCGTGTAAACTGACACTGTTAGATAAAGCATACGCGACTATACAAGCCATTCTGGTGTTTGTAATGAGATTTTCAGAATCGATCATGCGCGCATTTTGGGATCTCGGGGAATGCAGGAGAGACCCGACTGCATGAATCAAAAAATACACGTTAGGATTTTTACTAGCGGAGTAATAGGATTTTCGGATGAGTCCAAGATCTGACTGATATGGGAAGTAGAAGAACTCTTGCATCATCTCATTCCTCTCCCTCATCATAGAGATGCACTCCCTAGCCATCTTTTTAGACCACACCCAGTCTAAAAACTCGGATTCATGCTCGAAACTGACAGTGTGAGCTAGATACCCGATGGAAAGGAGCCCCGCACAGTCTTTATGCCTGCTTCCAAGAGTACAGACTCTTACATTCGCGTGTTCATGATTAGGAAATCTGTACATGAATAGATCGATCGCAGCCACCATCTTTATGTAACTGGGGTCTGCGGCCCAAGGTTCAAAGGAGTTCCGAGCTGGAAACACCGCCAATTGATTTATGCATAGTTTTATCTGCTCGTGAATCTTATCTCTGACTCTTTCAGCATATTGTACAATGTTGGTTCTAGCCAATTGAGCAGAACATAGACTATAGATTGCCATCCAATGTTTATCTGCCTCTGTTGATTCCTTAGTCTCAAACCCAGGTATCTCTCCTGTTTGAGTTTGGATGTTGATGATAGACCATGGGTTTACTGTTTCACCTGCAGATCCTATCACTCGATCGTATGATGTCCAATCCTCATCTAATTTCGCTGTAACGTTAGATTACAGTCATTTTTGTCATTGTTGCCCTGTCAAAGATGCACCCGTCCACCTATGGACTGACTCATTAAACACATTGCATTGGCTTAATGCGCCACCATCCAGATGGCCTTGTTTCGTTGCCAACAGGTGCTCAAACATATTCGAGCTGATGCCTCAGGTTGAGTGGCACCATATAAGATTTAGTCAGAACCCAACTGACATAGCTTCTCGAGGAATACATCCAGGTCAAATGAGAGAACAGTGTTTGTGGTTTTCTGGACCAGATATTCTCCATGAGTCCCAGCCCGAGTACCCCAAACTTAAGATTGAAATTTTAGAGGATCCACTCTATAATGTAAACGTTTTGATTGAAACTAAAGGGTTAGATACCTTTGTCACTGAATTGTATGGTCGATATTTCAAATGGGAAAGGCTTCTTAGAGTAACTGCTTATTGTCTTAGATTTGTTTATAAGCTTTTCATTAAGGTAGTTCAAAAAAGGGTCAACATTGACCAAACTGACTCCTACCAGCCTAAGCTGGCTTTTATTTCTGTAAATACCTATTACAGTGTAGCCTTAGGCAACCTGTCAACTAAGGAAATCGATAATGCTGCCTCTTTAATAGTTTATACACATCAGCAGAGATGGTTTTCTGCCGATTTAGCTGTTCTTCGTAGAAACCAAGGGCTAAGACCTGATGAATTAGAACAGCTTCTATCAAGTAGTCGTTTGCATAAACTAACACCTATTATCATCGATTATCTTCTTCGAGTCGGTGGAAGGCTTAGTAACCCTCTTTTAGATGCAAATGCTAAACATCCCTTGATCCTCTATGGCTACGACTGTATCACTCAATTGTTGATTGACTATTATCATCGCAAGGCATTACATGGAGGTGTTGAGATGATTCTTGTGTCTCTTAAGCAAAAATATTGGATTTTGCGAGGTCGTGAAGTAGTGCGTGCCGAACTTAGTCCCTGTTTCACCTGTAAAAGGTACAAGGGCCGGACTCAGACTCAATTGATGAGCGATCTTCCAAATTGTCGAGTAACTCCTAGTCCACCCTTTCAGAAGACTGGAGTTGATTATGCCGGACCTTTTCCAATTCGGTTGTCTAAGAGTCAAGGAAAGGATACTCTTAAGGGATACGTGGTCGTGTTTATATGTATGGCCACCAAAGCCGTACATCTGGAAGTGGCTGAGGACTACTCGACTGAGGCATTCATTGCAGCATATCATCGCCTTGTGTCTCGTCGAGGGCAGTGTACTGATCTTTATAGTGATCAGGGCACGAATTTTGTACGTGCTGACCACGAATTAAAAAGAATGTGGACAGCTCGGTGTCATTCATCTGATTTTGCCGATAGTCTGTCGTATTCTGGCACTGAGTGGCATTTTAATCATCCAGCTGCCCCTCACTTCGGTGGTATTTGGGAATCTGCCGTAAAATCAGCGAAGTTCTATTTGAAGCGAGTCGTTGGTGATCAGATTTTGACGTTTGTCGAGTTCTCGACCCTTCTGTGTAGTATAGAATCGTGCCTTAATTCGCGGCCACTGTGCCCTCTGACCGATGATCCTGAGGACCTTTATGCTCTCACTCCTGCCCACTTATTAATCCTTAGACCGTCCTATATTTTGCTCCAACCAGATTTGACCTCCGAAAAAATATTTTCATTACACAGGTGAAAGCTTGTTACACAGACTGGCCAGGATTTTTGGAGGCGGTGGTCCTCAGAGTACCTCAGCACTCTTCAGGCACGATCTAAGTGGCTTACGCCCCAAAGATCCATGCAGATAGGGGATTTAGTCCTTATTAAGGTAGTTCATCCACACAAGTGTCTCTCGTTATTTTCATGTGGCTCCCCGTATGAGAACATTCATAACCGAAGATCTAAACTTTGAGCACTACTGTCTATCACACAGGTTAAGATGTGTGCATGTGTACACTAACATAGTCTCATAAGAAGTACTGGAATGGTTTGGCAACATTGTAAGTATGCCCGTATATTGAGCAAATGTGGAAGTGCTTCAAAAGTTAGTAAAAAATATAAACGTGGAAAACGAGTGTATAAATATTTATAAGACCTATGAATATTATTTATCAGAAGTGACATCGCTTACTATTTTGCCTGAACTTGAAAAGTTTAAAGGAATTATATCTAGAGAAATAATTAAAAGAATGGCTAAATTAAGTCTTACGTACAATAAGTTACAAGAATTGTATAATGCCAAAGGCAAAGATGCAATAATTGATCTTCTATCAGAACAGTCCTTTAATTGTAAGCCAAAAGTCACCAAAGACAAAAAAGTATTGAAAAAAATTATTGCAGCATTGTAAATGTGTTATTTAATAATAAATGTTCTATTTATAATTATTTTTAAATGTAGTATTCATTGTATACATCACAATAAAAATTGTATGTACCAAACAGAAAGTAAATTCGAGCTCGATAACATAGGTCACAGCTGCAGGGAAATTATCGACATAGTGCGCTGTTGCCGCTCTCACATTCTTTATTTCAGCTTATTATGTATTTCATACAAAATTAATTACTTTGCTTTATGATTACTCAAAAACGGTACGTGAGATTTGAAAATTCTTGGTTTTATTTTGATCGGCAAGACATTGCCTTCTGAATAAATATTAGTTTTCAATATTCTGTCGATAGAATTTTTTTTAATCAGTAGGAGAGTTTGTTTACCTATGCTACACGTGCTAAAAAGGATACTTTTGAAGCAGTACAGTTAAAAAACGGTACGTCAGAAATAAATAAAATTTTAGCTACGTATTAAGTCAATCATTAATGTTTTCTGTCGACATCGCGTTTTTGGATAAACTACCTTAAGAATGAGTTGACTCCACCTGGCAAGTGGTCTTTGGGTCGTATAATTAAAATTTTTAAAGATCAGAGGTCCCTAGTCAGGGTCGTAAAGGTCAAAACGCCCAGTACTGTTCTGACTAGACCGATCCATAAATTAATATTGTTAAGGACAAACTCTGAAATTGAAGCTATTAATTCGGATTAAACGTTTTAATGTCTTATTAGTTGCACTTGGATAATCTAGTTATAAAATTAAAAACAGTTACCACACTTTTACTTAGTTTGCTATTGTAAGTAGACAAGCGGTCTACATTAATATTTTCAAATTTCGATTCATGCGTTATGCTTTGTTTATTTTATTTATTTTTCTCTTTCTTGAATGTTAACTCGTACTGACTGCTGTCCATCAACCTGAGTAGTATGTTCAACATCAAATTAGTATTACAAACATTTACTATATAGAATTTATATATTCGCGCGCCAGCAATTAACTTTAGTATTTTGTAACCAATAGCGTGCGTACGATGGTCCTGCGTGACCACCAATCATAGTGCTCCACGTTTAAGTTACTTTGGCTGCTCACGACTGCTCGCCTGTGAGCATTTAGTCAGTCCGCACCAATCGCTCGTCCAGTGAACCACAGTGTGGTCACTGTGTACACCAACCAAGTAGACATTTTCTCGAGTAAATCATTTTAAATAGAAAGAGAAAATGTCTTGTGTAATTTACTCGCGTGACTCAAACAACAAAATTTTCAGTTTAATTATATTAGTAAAATAACTGTTCTTCAATTTTATTCAATATCCTTAAACTAGCGCACATAAAACGTAATTTTGTTAGTTACCACAGTTTTTCAATTTTTTCTCATCAAGTGTTGTAATTTCTGCTGTTAATATACTTTATTATTTGGTTATATATAAAAAGGTGTGAGTGTTAATCTTTCAATAAACCCAAGCAATTGGCTCCCACTCTTTTCCCTCGCAACCGGTAAGTCAAATTATACAGTCCACAATAATTGGGTTTTCAATCCCAAACACTGTGATAAATGCTCTTAAGAGCTTTATTTGTGAAACTAAAATTATTATTTAAATAAGTACTTCATAAAACTAATGTAATACTTACCCATGCACAATGAGGACCAATTTTACTTCGTTATTTATAATTGTCTAGAGCTATACTAGAATTGCTAGCATAATAATAATTATATTGATAGCCACTTTTATACCCGAATATAATTATGTAATGTTAATATGAAAATATGTAGGTAACTATCTAATGCCTCCAGTAGTGCATTGGCTACATATACTCAATACGACGCCAATAAACGAAATTAACTAACTAACCCAATATCTCGTCCTCGGGTCGTTCTCCGGGTAACCAATCGCTCATCGTTAGTCGGAAAAATGGGCCTACAGAACCTTCTCTGTGGGTATGCTGTTGGGACGATTGGACGACGGACGTTGAGAAAGAAGCCGTTGTGGCTACCATGTGCTTTTCAGGGCTGTCTTTCCTATAGCTTACGTTTGTATTATAAAATTCTCTGACGGCACCAGGTCAGATGGTGGAATGGCCACATAATTCTGTATTGTTGGAGCAGATTGTGCTCTGGCTAGACACGTCTCCTGGTATTCTGCTGTAGACGTTATCATTATGATTAATTATATACTGGTGGCACCCGTCAATCCTGTAGGATCAGAGTAGAAGTAGACCTAGGTCACTTTCCCATTGGAAAGGAACGTCATCGGTAACCGGGATACTTAGCTGCACGACTAACAAATATCTTATCGATGCAGTGCGATGAACTGCCAGGAGACGACCGTAGAAATTTGCCGCGACGCTCCAGCCTATTATAACCACTCTTATTTTATTCTGTTGCAGGTAGCTTCGATTTTATGTCGACGCCACCTAGCAGATTCTACAAAACTAACGTAAAAAGCTGGTGTATTTTTGCAAAACTTTGAGCTTATTTATTGCTATTGTTATTAACTTTTTCAAGATAAAAACTATACTAAAACCATCTAGGAAGTGTAAGAATCGGTATGCCAAATTTCAGAAAAATCGGTTCAGTAGTTTTCGCAGTTAGCAATTGCAACGGTTTTAGCGACTTTGCTTTATATATTAGTAAGATAAGAAAAGATAAGATAAATAGTATGTTAATGGTATCCTGTATTTTGGTTTAGTTTTTTAATTTTCTTTTTTAAATATGTTACGTTGCATGATACTTTCTGCATACCAATACTCTATGTTGTATGATATAAAATTAGTTTTCCTACTTTGTTCGTTTTTTTTTACGTGATATATACTGTCAAACATCTGTTTAGTTAGAATATCTATTTTATTAGAATAATTCCAATTTGGATTGTAAATTTTCTCTTATCAAGTTACAGCTAACATCGGCGCAAACACCAGCAAAATTTAAGATAAGCTATTAAGGGGATTAACAAAGAGATTGATTCGTATATGCTTAGATAAAAATTACATCATCAACTGGACAAAAAAACGAGAGGTTGTAAGGCTAATGATAATTTATTATTAAAATGCAAAATTATATTTTATGAGAACTTTTATCAAATTAAAAAAAGGACAAAAATTCAAAAAGAGATTTTCTCGTCAATATTTTATTTAAGATCTCCACAGCACGTAACAAATTTTTGTATTTTCATGTGGTTAGTGCACACATAGATTCAAAGACACAAAAAATTGAAGTATTATTTTTATCCACCTACTCTGCCGCATAACATCGATTCGAATCAGTTCGAAATATATAGTCGCGAGTCAGACTAGTTATACTCCTTCCAATGACGCACCATACTGCGCTTCAGGGTACATCATCGCTCACAGACATCTACTCATCTCTGTCGCACAAGTATGGGCGCTCGCCCGTATGGGTCCTGGAATGGAGGTGCAGATCCGCTGCCGAAGAAAATCGCCGCATGCAAATGGCGCACAAGAAGTAACTAATAGACGGACTCTTCTTCACTATTTTATCGGCGTCATGGCTGCTGTTGCAGTCCTGCCTCTTGTTAAAACTGCTGTGGCACGTGCGCATGTGGCGCTAAGGNTAATAGACGGACTCTTCTTCACTATTTTATCGGCGTCATGGCTGCTGTTGCAGTCCTGCCTCTTGTTAAAACTGCTGTGGCACGTGCGCATGTGGCGCTTGGGAGGCGTCCCAATGGTCGAAAGGCCAGGTGACGCTCTTGGCGATGTCATTTTGGTGGAATCAGCGGACGTCTTTTCCGCCAAAATGCTGTTGCTCCCGTTGTTGGCGTCGACGAGTTCGCGGCTGGTAGCAGTTCTGTCAACGCGAGGTGAATAAGATTCCTGGGGTAGCTCGGTCACCTGCACGAGCCCAGTCTCGCACGAGCCCAGTCTCGGTGGTTTCATTTTTGTGTTTCTTGAGCAGGTGGCGGTTGCAACTTGATTTGGTGTTAAAGGACATGTGACACACATTGCACTTGAAGGGCTTCTCTCCAGTGTGTGTCAGAACGTGGCGCTTGCAGCTGGATTTGGTGTTAAAGGACATGTGACACACATTGCACTCGAAGGGCTTCTCTCCAGTGTGTGACAGAACGTGGCGCTTGCAACTAAATTTGGTGTTAAAGGACATGTGACAAACATTGCACTCAAAGGGCTTCTCTCCAGTGTGTGTCAGAATGTGGCGGTTGAGGGAAGAGGCCGAGGCGAAGGGTTTCTGGCAGTAAGGGCACTTGACTTGTTTCGGGGCCAGCGAGTCGGTAAATTCCCTATTGCTCCTATTATTGATGATAGGCGCGGTTGTAGGCCAAGTGACCGAAATGCCGCCCAAGTGGTCATTGAGCGGGGCAACAAGGTCCTTCTTCTCGCTCAGGTCTTGCGCGTGAAAATTTTGTGGGTTATTGTGGGACGCGTTGCTCGGCATCACGTAGATACTGGACGGATCTTCGTTGCCTTCGCTAATGCCG